TTTTCTGAATATGTTTTTAAAGTCATATAAGCTATACTTATTTATTGTTTATTATAAATATTCAATATTACTGACAATAGTCTTTACTCTTTATCTTAAACATAAACAAATTAACTATAAATATCATATTTATTATGGAAATTAAGACCATTGATCATACATAATGATTCTTTTAAAACTAATTTCAAATAAAATATTGAAAAATTTTAAATGTAGGATCCTAACTACTGATTAATTCAAGTTGACTACCTAGTAGCTTAAGTGTTTAAAATACGACATAGAATATGATATCATGCATAAAAGGATTCCCTATCGGCTATCATCCACCTTTTCAATTCAACAATCAGATACAAATCAAAGCACATACATAATTCAATATTTTATCATTTATTTTTATATTTTAACGTGAATTCTAAAACTACATCGGGTACTATTAGTTMCACACGTGCCATACGGCGAATCTAAAAAATTGTCTATGATTTATGCCTAGTGTAATAAAATATATAGTTTGTGTTCAATTATCAATTTACAAAAAGTAGTTAAGATATTAATTTAAAAAAATATAAATATATATTTAAATGTTATTGTTAGGATTTTATAAAGTATTTATACAATATTATGTATATAATGTTTTACTTATGCTGTTAAAATTATATATATTAAATCTTTCATACTTCATATAGGTGCTGAAATTATATAATAAGTTATAATTCCTAATCACAAAAATTAATATCTTCTAAAATGTTAAAACTTGCATTTTAAAATTTTTTATTTTTTTTCGATTTCTCATTAGGAAATCTCTACATCTCAAACTTTATAAAATTTTTGAAAAATCGAAAATTTTACTTTACCAAAAATATTAATTGTTATCTATTTAAAATAATTTACGTCATATAAATATTTTRGAAAACTATCTTTTATACTAAGATTATCTTATAGTCATAACTCATAATTATAACTTCATAATCCATAAACATAAAAAAAACATAACGTTGTAAAACTAATATAATGCATATCCTGGTTCCTCAGAATCTAATAGGATGAAAAAACATCAAAAATTAGATTGGGTATGTGAAAAGGTCTGTCCGAAATATTTAAATAAAACATATTTTAGGACACATTTAGGTTGTGTAATTTATATTTTTGACATAAATTAAAGTTTGTTTAAATATAATCTCAAAACCATCATATAGGTACCTACTGTGTTGTTGACATTTTTCGTGTATTAAACTTGTAAACGTATCTTCATATCAAACGATAATTTATTCAAATTTAAAATGATGAAAATATATAATTTTCAAATCTCTACCATATTCCATGTTAATATTATTAAATAGTAGAAAATCTTTGGACGACTGTGACAGATTTATTATATGTGCTTGTCTCTTATATATATTATTATGAATACATGTCGTTAGTAAAATGTCAGCGCAAATGTACATGATAAGCGCCACAATACGTCAGAATATGTTTTATACGACTAYCAAAAAATTCATTTTTTTTAAATATATTGTTCAAAATGAAAAAATTGTACTTAATAACGAATATAGCTTCTAAGTTGTCAAGACTTACATATTATATTTTTCTGTAATCTATGTACTCATAAATCACTCAATTAAACACGAGTGAACTATAGTAACTTTAAACAGTATATTAACTACGTCAACATTCACATTTAAATTCATTTAATCTTTGAAATAAATTATCAAAATTTCAAAATTTCAAATATCAAAATTCAAAATTTATTAATATCCATTGTTACGAACTGAACGTGTCAATTACCATTTATAATGGATATTTTCAAAGTGTTCAAACATTAATTCGTTTTTAGATAAAATTGATTGATAATTTTACACTATAGATACAATTTATAGATACTTGAGATATTGCATAATATCAGCGTAACGTATTCATTATATTGTGTTCTACAATAATAATTTCTGCAATTTATTAATATCTACTATAATTGTTTTAAACAAATTTGTAGACTGCGTTAWTCGAACACATCGTTGCTGTTTTTATTTTTAAGGAATAACTAAACGATTTATAAAATTAGCAGTTAAGTAAGAACTAATACAATTCAAAATTAATAATATTCGTGGGTTCAGACTGTGCAGATTAAATAACATCTCCATTTTACCCGATAAATCAGTCAAAAAATGTAATAATCTCGAAAAAATTAAAGACGTTAATAAGACAGAATAAGTTTCTTTTTCAAAACAAACATTTTTTTCCAACCAGTCAATAKTACAGTTGTTTAACTAGTAACCACTCATAAATGCTATTAAAATTATATGTAGTCCCTGATTTGTGCTTTATAACAAAATACATTTGATTCAAATATTATATCACACATTTAGGAAAATCTAACCATCATAAGGTTTAACATAATAAATTCCTGTGCTCTCAGGTGTAAAAAACTTTTTAACAAAACCATTATTATTTTTTACTGTGTTAATAATAACATTGTAGTTTTGTTCAATTCGATAATTTTATTGCATTTTGTATGTTGTTTAAATTGGTATAGATTTACATTGGTGGTTATATTTTGATTTCAGAATTCTTGTAGTGGGTTAAAGTATCAAACTTTCCATGCAAAAAAAAATTAAAATATTAAAATTATACCTAYGATTAAACCAATTTAATGATTAATTCATTTCAACATTTCAATATTTCAATACAAATGTATTTAAGTAATTAGCTAATTTAATAGATTTTATTAAAAACTCTAATATTAAACAATAGGCATATTAAGACATTTATTGTGATTGTTTCTTTTTGGTAGATAGTCATTCATATAATCTTTAATTTATTCACACTTATTAAGTATTAAACCKTTTTGAAAAAGCTTRATTGTTAAATGGAATTAAACTTTTTGAAATGTTTTATTAATTCAATTAATTGTATTTTGATTGAAAGACTAAAGTTCTCAGAATTTACCTTACAAACAGTTCTAAAGTTATTAACTCGTTTACTTGTTTATATAAATAAATGAAAAATAATATAGGTACWCTGATATACTCTATTCATATTAATTTGATTTAATTTAATTATTATCTAAAGTATAAAGTATACGATTGTATAAGAACCGTTTATTATAATATTATGAATTACAATAAAATAATAATAATATGTTTCAATAATTGAATATTCATAAAACTGGATAACTTAATTTATTATTTTGTACTATAATCTTTGTGTTTTTATTTGCACTGTTGGAAAAAAGTTGAATGATCATAATTAAATCATTTCATCCTGTAAAATTGTAAGTTATTAATATTTAACTAACCAATACATTTTGATCATTAAATTGATGATTATCAAAATTKTTGGTATTTTTTATCTAGGAATCCTTAATTAAACGCATTTTTGAAGCTTCATGAAGATATGATGCGTATTTATTCGTTAATATTTTGTTCGGTTCTAATATAATATATTATTATTAGCATTTATGAATAACTAAACCATAGAATATCAAATATAGGTTACATATATTATTATAGTAATTAAATATAATGATACGTGTCCCTCAAACGGGCCAAACTGTATTAATATTATCCATTACAATAATATAATATCATGTATATATTTATATATATCCATATATTTTTCATGAAAAATATTATATTATTTTAATGCATAATATTAATACAGTTTGGCCCGTATGAGGGACACGTATCATTATATTTAATTACTATAAAAATATATGTAACCTATATTTGATATTCTATGGTTTAGTTATTCACAAATGCTTAATACACACTTATTGTCTATTGAGTGCATATTACCTATTGAATCACTGCACAATGGTTCAATTTACAATGCACACTATACTATCAATGAAATATTTCTATAATTTACATAATTCTGCAAAATTTGCAAAAATAATTTAATTTAGCATACTATTTGAAGTATAATTGGATTATTACACAAGTGGTACGATGATTAAATTTTTTAGTAAACCTATGATTTGTAACTTATAGTGGGGATTTTCAGGTATTGTATGATAGATTATGTTATCTGTCAAAAATGAAAAAAAAATAACAGTAGTCATGATTAAATGTATAGATTTTAAGCATGCGATATGAACTTGTTTCTTTTTCTCGATTGTCTTGASAATTTTTAGATACCCAGCTCCCCTTCCTCAATGAAAAAAAAATACATATATTTTTATATATATGTTTAACGTAATTTATAAAAATATAACATTTCTGTATATGACTACAAAAATACGTAAAAATGAAATATAACACTTAAACCTATCTTTAAATTGTCTCGGGCATAATATTATTTCGTCAACTCGTCTAAATCTATCTCTATATTATTATGGATATATTTAATACACGATGAATCAATGGAATTTAACTGTTATAAAATAATATTTATGTTATTGGTGCATGTTATATTATAATATATGGGACAGTGTATAACATTTTGTTATTCAATTTACTCGAACTAATCGCACATATTATGATTAAATAGGAAGTGAAATATGTCGTACTAAGACACGGGTGTAACCAGAAATTTATTTCAAAACGTCCTTTATAAACAATTTTGTTTTAAAGGTACTGAATAAAATATTTATTATCATTTGATAATAATGCACTGCAATATGCAACTCTAGGTGGTGAAGTGGACAGCTTCTAGGTTTTTCCACTGCAACCTATGTTAATAAGAATATTATATCTGTTGGTATTTTCCGGCATATTAACAAGTATGCAGAATTGCGTATCTTTAAAAAATAGGTCCCTAATATCCAAAATCCCACTCCTTAAATTCGTAATTGCTTACTGTTAACTATAAGTATCATTTTTATCTTAATTGTTCATACTTTAAAGTTTAAATGTAATTAGAACATAAAAGAACTTGTAATAGCATATAATATGCTGAAACATTTTAATTTTAATAAATAATAAAAAATATAATAGGTAACACTAATTTAAACTGTATAAAAGGGAACCCCTGCAGTATTTTTTTTATATAAGTATGCAATCACTTACGGATGAGTAACAGATAAACAAATATTGTGTAAGGTGACGAAGATGACCGGAACAAGGCCGCCATCGGACACGTGGAAGAAACGAGCAGTAGGCAGTAGTTATGTTAGTAATTATGTCAATAATAATATGCAGTATAAGATTACAAAATTAAAAATTAAAAAATTAAAATGAAAATTATAACAAAAAAAAGAATAAGTTTATTTTTATTTTTTTATTGTTTTCGGCGGAACAGGTGGGGGGCCCCACGTATGACGGCAATGTCACACTACGCGAAAACCGTATTGGCCGACACGATACGAACAACACCGCTTGACATCGACTGCAACCACTGAGCTACCACCGTAGTAGCATTCGTATTCGAATTTTCTTCGGTGTCGATCGACGGGAGGACACTACCGACGGGGCGAAACATTGTCGTCCGACTGCCGTGCGCAAAACGTTCAACGACGCCACTGCTGCTACCGCTACCGCAACCGAGTCCCTTTGATAGGTGGTGGTGGTGGTGGTGGTGGTGGAGGAGGCGGTGGCAGGCTGGTTGAACAGTCGACTCGTCGCGACTTGTATCTCGCTGGCTGGCGAGAAGTCGGGGTAGGTGGCGGCCCGGAGATGGCTCATCTCTAGGGGGTGAGAGCCGGGTTATACGAAAAAATTACGTCCATTAGAGGCGTCAAAAGAACAATCGCTTGCCGCCTCCTCTGACCCCCACTTGGCCATTTGTCACACTCTTCCAACTCACACCCTAGCCCACTACTCAAATGCTGTCACGCTGACAAGTCAGAAACCCGATCACACACTGTCTTATATACCGGAAACTCTCCGGCCAAGGTGGTCCCGATAAACTGACTTGTTGAAGTAACGTGCGAGTAATTTTAGAAAAATAATTGAAATCCTGAAAAAAATACACAGGCTATATTATTAGGTATATTGGCCAACTATGGTATACATGATTTTATTATAATAACGCCGATATGGCTGGTTAAAGATCAAAAACTGCTTGATGATGTCTATTTACATCACCAGAATACATTTTTCTAGCGTGTAAACAAACATCTACACATCAGTGTCATAATCTAGSGAAACAATTATTATTTTTTTATATTATTGAACAAATTGTTTAATATGTTATAGATGATGATCATGGACCATCGGCTAAATAAACTGAATAGTGAATAAAACGAGTTCWTGAAATTAATTGAAATTTGATTACATAAATATCAAATATGTGTTCGTAATATCCTAATTTTTAACTAAAAAATCTCATATTATTAATATAGATTATTTAAAATAGTGTAATATGTTATGATAGGTAGGAATAGAAATGTTAAAAAAAAATTTCATGTAGCTGGGAGAAGATCGACAATTTAATTTAGACATAACTAATATATAAAATTATTACATAAAAGCTTTTTTTTTTACTCCTACGGGAATATTTAGAGTAGGATGAAGAAAATGAGAAGTTAAGCCAGAATTCAAGATTAATTGACGATTCCAACAAACAAAAGAGAATTTCTTAATTAGAACAAAATATGATATATTTCATAACTTTATTATATTTTAAACAAAAAGGTTTACAGCTTCTAAATGTTTGGTTTATATTTTGCTTTTATTTTACATTTACTTCAGTAAAATAACTATGGTATGCCACTAAAATATAATATTCGATAATTCACAGTATATCATAAATTAAGTGCAAGTTTACAGGATATATTCAATTTTATAATGTTAAAAACTAAAATAGATGAAATCGTCATTTTTAAATTAACATAAAAACGAGTTCATTATAATATTCATGAATATTACTATTTTTTTCAAATATTTGAGTTTSTTGCTAATACTATAATACATAATACTATCTTTTTTGTATAAGACATTTTAAAGGTAATGGAATACATTGGCACAAGTTTAAAAAGATTAAAAAAAATGCGTTTATCCRAAATCGTTAAAAATGTCTCATCGTTTGAAATACTCCAGATATCCAGATGTGCTATTTCTACCAAGCAAATTACTAATTCACTTAAAGAGTGYGTAAAAACTTGCTTCCAAAGAAATATATATTGTCATCCGAGTACTGAGATAAAAATAGTGTAACTATTAGTGGCACAACTAAGTGTTGTCTCAATTCAATTATTCCCGTCACTATAAACATGTAATCAARACTGCTATTGTTACTTATTATGTATAAATTGTAATCATTTATTTTCAATAGTAAAAAGAAGGAAGTAGGTTACCACTTTGTTTTAGAACATGTGTCGAATGTACATGAGGGCATTGAGTAAGTAAATGTAATGTAAATTTCAATTTTAATTTCAATGGTTTATACAAAAAACAATTCCGAGCAAACACAGTCTGTCTGCACAATATTTAATGATATATTTTACTATTGATACATAATACAATAAGTAGAATTAATTTTTTCTAAAAACATTGAATTTATTATATTAGTTATGTATAGTATTACCTTATGATAGAGGGAAATTTACCATATACTTTTTWACCTAATATTTTCATTAAAATACACGATTAAGCATTTTTAATATGATTTCTAATATTTTTCAACCCTTATATTTTATAGTAGAAATGTTTCGATTTGATTTAATTTAATTACAAATATAAATACAAATTTATCACCTGTCARAATACATTTAATTATTTATCAATCTAAAAAAATGGTTTTCATGAATAAACTTATAATATGRAGCCAAAATCGATGGATCAGTCGAACGATCCATAAATAAAAAACCTACAATATTARTACAATTAAGAATCTATAACTAAATTTATATTATATATAAATAGTTATTATATTTTGAATATAAATTATAAAAATACATGCATGTATATAATAACACAACATTTTATACAAATTAATTAAAACTATACTTTTTCGTTTGAACTATATTATAATTAATGAACGTAATGTCCTGCATAGTGACTATACAGAAAAAAAAACACCAAAATGTAATATCTTTTCCCTAGTGACTGGAAAGTTTACGCGTCACGAACATTAAACATTATAAAATTGTTTTTAAAAACGAAATAGTTAATGGTATTAATATAAGACCTTTTTAATTATAATGGTATATTATTATCACTGATTGGAAAGTTTATTAATAATTATTCATTTTTTTCATTTTGAAATTAAACAACTCACTCAACTATGTATGTTATATTATATATTCGCCGAAAAATGAATATTATTTATATTCATTATATAAATATTTTAAGTATGGTTAACACGTAGTTTTTATTAGATTAAAGTTCACTTCAACCATTGTGTTAAATTATAGAATTATATTTTTAGTAGATGAATGGTATACCAATTATTTATTATATAATTATTACTCTTTTTACTTAAACTTGTGAAATAAATTCCTTTATATTCTCAAAAAAATAAAATAAAAATAATTACATTAAAAAGTCCATATTTATTAAATGTATGTTTATAATGGATAATAAACAATTCAATATATGCAAAACATAAATTAGATACAAACTTAATTTACTAAAAGAAAAACAAATCTGGGTGCAAATGGGCCAATAGATACCCAATAAACGCATCCAGGAGAAAATTGATAATTACCAATAAACAGATCCAGAATACCTAATAAGTAACTTCTATATCACTCACTCGTATCTAATAACCAAAGAACCTCAGCTGYCGTGTGACATATGTAAAACTACCCTTACGATGACATACATCGTTATGGACTGTCCCAAATTCTCAACTGCACGTATCCTTCCCAATAGTMCAAGGTCACTTGAATAAGCCCTCAATCAATATAACTTTGGCAACATTTTTAAATTTTTCAAACAATTAGATTTAAATTAAAAAAAAAAAAACAGTAAATATGTTAATATGTTAATGTTTTACATTGTATTCCTATAATAATAATGGTATTGTAATCTTTTATATTGTAAACCAACAACATTTTGTAATTGTAGGCTAATAATYCTTGTGATTGAAGCCTTTATGTTGATAAATAAATACATCGTTGATATATCATTGTTTAAACATTCCTACAATATTGAAGGTTTATATTAAATAAACTACCCTGAATATCGAAATAATCATATCGTATAATATATTTTATACTTGTGCTGATAACTAACAAATTAAAAATAACTTTATGATTAGTTTATAAAATATACCTATATTGTTTTTAATATTAAAATAAAACTTATGTTTTTGGTTTGTATTAACTAAATCTAATTATATAAAAATATAACGTTTTTAAATCACTAAAGTTGTAGACCAGGGAGTTATTTGTCATTTTGAATTATGGCTTCCATCAATAAAACATCAGTTTCCACATAATATGATTATGAATGACGTGTTTTTTTACTACAAAATAAAGTAGTATCTGTAGTAAAACTAAAGAGACTATTCTCTCATAAAATATACTATCCCCAGATGACGACGGAAAAATCATCAGAACTGTCCAAAGTTGAGACAAATAACATTAACACAATGTCACGTGAAAACTTCAAAAATTCGCTCAGAATATTTGATAGAATGAAACTGAATTTTTGATTGTACCCGATGGAATTTACTTATTGTAACTATTAAGAATGAAAGATGTGTCTTAAACTCTTAAGTTATAATCAATTCCTGCYGACTCGTCCAGAATTTAGGATTAGAAATGTATACACCATAGGTAACGCAAAAAGGATGTTTTGTTTCTTCTATTTTTTTCTTTAATTCAATATTGAATTTTAAATTTAAGTTATTAATATTAAAAACCATCAAAATAAGTACTTATTTAAAAGAACTCCATAAACCAAAATCGTTTTTATAACATTTTGTAGATAATTTAATTAACTTAAAATATTAAACAAAAATATATTAATAAAATTATTTATATTTACCTATGTTATTGAGTACATGTTATAATATAATAGACAAGCAAAAGTAGCAAGAATGCACGGTAATACAGCTCTAGGAGATGAAATGGACAGCCTCTAGGTTCTGCCACTATAGCTTATATATATATTAARAAGCATATTATATCTGTGGGTATTTGTGGGTGCACTTATTTAAACTACAAAAAAGGGAACCTTTACAATTTTTTTTGTTTTTTATAAAAGTATATTATCACTTACGGGATGAATAACAGATATGAGATAATCAAATATTACGTAAAGTTAAGACGATGACCGGAACAAGGCTGCCACGCGAACGAACAGAGGAGCGGCAATTATTTATGTCAACAATTATTATTATTATAATCATTTCATAAATATTTAMCTATGGTTTACACATAGTTTTTATTAGATTTAAGTKTACCTTAAACATTATGTTAAATACTAAATTAAATTTTTAGTTGTTTTATTGTGTAGTTATTAGTTTTATTCTTATACTGCTGAAATATATTCAAATTACCTTGCTCTATTATAAATTAAATAAGAAA